ACGACCCAAGCAACCCAACCAAGAGGCTCCAAAAAATGCTCCAAGACGCCGCAAGAAGGCGCTATGAGGGCACCAGAAGCCACCAAAACGGCTCAGAAGGGCCCCAGGACGGCCCCCAGAAGGCCCTAAAATCGGCCAAGGGTGCCCCACAAGGCCCTCGACGGTGTAAGACTCGTCGGGGATTCGCTCCAAGACGGCCGACATTGCTTCCAGACGGCCTCAGGGGCGCCCTAGATGTCCCAAGAATCCACCAGGAGGCTGCTCAAGAGGCCCTCGAGAAGCCAACCAAATCCCATTCTCGATGGGGCACCGATATGTCCAGCACATGCGCCTTTTGGCCACTCACGAGGCTCACAGCAGCCCAAGAAGCCTTCAAAATCGACCAACAAAACCGACCCGAGAAAGCCAAGAGGCTCCCAAAAATCTTCCAAGACGCCGCAAGAAGGCGCCAAAAGGGCAACAGAAGCCACCAAAACGGCCCTGGAGGGCCCCAGGACGAAGGTGTGCTTGATTGCGGCAAACGTCAAGGAGGCGTACTTTCTGGCGGCGTGCTTCGTGGAGGCGTGCCCCCCTGAGTGCGTCACCAAGCAATGCTTCACCAAGGAGTCCTTCACCGAGGAGTGCTTCACCACGGATTGTTTCACCATGAAGTGTTTCCGCGCGGGTGGTTCACCATTTACTGCCTCGGCGTGGACTGCGTCATCGTGGGGTGCTATATCGTGGAGTGCAACACCGTCGTGGACGGTTTCAACATTGGAATTCTTCAGCGGGAAATGCTTCATCGGGACGTATTTCGACATGGGGTGTTCCATCGTGGCGTGTTTGCCAGAGGCGTGCTTCATCAAGTCCCTGCTTTTCTGGGTGATGACGTTCGGTGGGTCATCATCTCTGTAATCACCTTACCTCGTCCGTCCTAAGGACCGTACGCCGTGGCTAAAGATGATGTCCAGCCACCGTTGGCCGTCGCGCCCGCGCGACAGGGTGCAGACACGACAGGATGTGTCGGACCATCGGGCAATCTCTGCGTTACCGCGCGGTCGCGGCTCCCCGTAAGAGCCCAGCATCGTACCATCAACATCATCATCAACATCAGCATCAGCATTGCCATCATTATCACCACCATCATCATCAACAACCTAATCATGAACATCGTCATCATCAGCATCATCATCATCAACATCGCCACCAGCATCATCATCATCATCATCATCATCATATCATCCTCATCATCATCATCATCATCTTCACCACCACCATCATCATCGTCAGCATCATCATCAGAATCATCATCATCATCATCATCATCATCATCAGCATCAGCATCATCATCATCATCATGATCATAATCCGCCGACCCCTTGTGGGTCTCTAGGCGTGTGAGATGGTTCCCCCCCATATTCCCCCCCCCCCAGGGACCCCAAACCAGAGATTTGACCCCCCCCACTCGCCGACGACGAGCGCGTCACGGGGCTTGTTTGGGCACAAACGCGGCTCAAGACGAGCCAAGAAGGCCTCAAGACGCTTCCAAGACGGCCCACGAGGGCCCCGAGACGCCAAACGATCGCTCCAAAACGCCCAAGATGGCCCAAAGACGGGCTAAGAGGCCTCCTAGACGGCCCAAGAGGCCCCCACGAGGCCACAAGAGGCCTCCAAGATGCGTCCCAAAAGGATCCTTGGAAGCAGAATTGGCCCATTCCCTTCGTAAAACGTACATGTTTCACACGTTCGCCTTCTGGGTTTTCCGATGCTCCCAGACGACCCAAGAGGCCCCCAAGACCGCCCCAAGACGGCCCAATAAACCTCCAAGAAGGCCCCAAGATAGCCCAAGAGGGCCCCATGACGGCCCAACAGGCGTCCAAGACGGCCCAGGAGGGCCCCGAAGACGGCCCCAAGAGCGTTCCAGCGCTCCAGGAGCGCTCCAAGTGGCCCCAAAAGAGCTCAATATGGCCCCGGACGGTCCAAGAGCGATCAAAGACACCGAAGATGGCCTCCTGACGGCCCAAGATGCCCCCAAGAGGCCCCCGGAGGCATCGAAGATGCGCCCCAAGGGGGCCGCTACACGCAAAAAGTTGGCCCGTTCCCTTCGTAAAACGTTGATTTGTTTCATAAATTCGCCCTGTGGGCTTTCCGACGCTCCATGACGGCCCAAGAGGCCCCCAAGAGCGCACCAAGACGGCCCAAGAAGCCGCCAAGAGGGCCCCAAGACAGCCCACGAGGGCGCCAAGACGGCTCAAGAGGCGCAGAAGACGGCCCAAGAGAGCCCCGAAAACGGCCCCAAGAGCGCCCCAGGAGCGCTCCAAGTGGCTTCCAGGAGAGCCCAACATGGTCCCACACGGTCCAAGAGCGATCGAAGACACCCGAGATGGCCTCCAGCTGGCCCAAGACGCCCCCAAGGGGCCCCCAAGATGCGTCCCAAGAGGATCCCTAGACGCAAAAAATTGTTCATTTCCGTCGTAAAACGTATATGTTGCACAAGTTCGTCTCGTGGGCTTTCCGACGCTCCAAGACGGCCCAAGAGGCCCCGAAGACCGCCCCAAGACGGCCCAATAAACCTCCAAGACGGCCCCAAGATAGCCCAAGAGGGCCCCAAGACGGCCCAAAGAGCCCCCAAGACGGCCCAAGAAGGCTCCAAGACGGCACCAAGAGGAGCCCAAGAAGGCAACAAAAAATTCAAAAATCTAGCTTTCCGCCCCCACGAGCCCCAGGGGGCCCCAAGAGTGCCCCAAGAAGCCGCCAGAGGCCCCCAAGAGGCCGCCAAGACGCCCCAAGGAGCCCCCAAGAGGCCCCCAGGAGGCCCCCAAGAGACCCCCAGACGCTTCCGTATTGCGAGCCGTCAAGCCAACTGCAATGCACTCCGCGCATACAGCCTTACTCTTCCTCGCGACGTGCTCACTATCTTGCTCGGCGCTAATGTGCTGCTGCCACGCGAACTGTTTCGTCCGCGCTGCGAACGTCAACAACCTCTTCACCCGCATCGACTCATCTGCCACATCTTTCGCGGTGATGCCTCGCTGATCACAACTTCCGCACGCTACTCTTGCTCCTTTCGTCTTCCGGTGGTCCTCCACTTTGTTGCGGGTCGAAAGGCCGACCTCCCAGAAGGACACCCCGCACCCGGGTGCACAGCACGCAAGGCGCTCGCAAAACACGCCCCAGACCTCCGGCATCACGCAAACATTTGGACCCCCTACGTATCTGCCACCAACCCGCGCGCGACACCGCACCCTCACACAAGACGCCGCTGGCCAGAAACTCCTGGCCTCGCAACACTCACAGAAGGGGTCGGCGGATGTGGCGTAAGCCTGTAGAACCATCGTCATCATCATCGGCATCACCATCATCATCACCGTCACCGTCACCAGCATCATCATCATCATCATCATCATCATCATCATCATCAGCATCATCATCATAATCACCAGCATCATCATCATCATTAGCATCATCATCATCAGCAGCATCATCATCACCCCCACCACCACCATCATTAGTATCATCCGCATTGTCATTATCATTATCGTCGCCATGGTATTCGACCTACTATTCCTCCCCCTGCCCCTGCCCTTCCTCTTCCCCCTCAGTGTCGGACTTCTCCTCCTCAACTGCCCCTTTGGCACGGCTCCTCATTATCCTCCTCCTCCTCCTCCTCCTCCTCCTCCTGTTCCTTCCCCTCCTCCTCCTCTCCTGCTCCTCCTCCTCCTTCTCCTCCTCCCCTCCTCTTCGTCAAATCTTCATCCCTGTTCCTCCTGATCGTCCTCCTCGTCATCGTCATTGTCACAGACATTAGGATCGCCAACTTTGAGACAATGACAGCCCTCATCGGCCGTAAAATCACCCAAGCCACCAAGGTTCCACGCAGTGGCACCCTGTATGCAGCCTTTCGCCGTAGCACTGAGCGGTGCCTCATCCACCCAGGCAGGGTGCGCGGAGCGGAGGTATGAGTCTCCTCGCGCGCCATGAATAAGATTCGTGCTTGGCGGCTCCTCCTCCTCCTCCTCCTCCTCCTCCTCCTCCTCCTCGTCATCGTCACCACTACCACCATCATCATCATCATCAACATCATCGTCATCATCATCATCATCATCATCATCATCATCATCAGCATCATCATCATCATCATCAGCAGCATCTTCATCAGCATCAGCATCAGCATCAGCATCAGCATCAGCATCAGCATCAGTATCATCAGCATATTCATCGTCATCATCACCATCAGCAGATGCATCAACATCATCAGCAGCATTAATCAGTATCAGCACAATCATCCGTATCATCGCCATCATCATCAGTATCAACAACATCATCATCAGCAGCATCATCATCACCACCATCGCCATCACCAACACCATCAGCAGCAGCAGCAACATCATCAGCAGCACAATCATCATGACGAGATTGCATCTACGTGTCTGGAGTAATCCTTGTTCCGTGCCTTCAGCGTTGTCTCCGTCCTTGGCAGGCTTCAACACTTTTGGGATGTGGTGGTCGTAGTTCCTCTGTTTTCCGCGGTGAAGCGTCGGACGAGCTTCATGAAATGCGTTCCCAGTGCAGCGAGGGCTGTGATTAAGAAACTTCGAAAATGCAAACTCTGCATATTTCTTAATCATCCGCCAGGCTGCTGAGATGGGACAAGAAAACAGTAAACTCAGAAGCGAGCCAGAAGCTGAAAGGAAGAGGCGGGAGCAGCGCTGTCGAGGAAGCAAGACGGTGGGATAAGCAGCAGAATTGCATGCAATAGAGGCTGGTAGGGGGGACGGCACTGGGGTGAGATTGCCGCCAGCGGCTGCCTGTCAGGCTACACGCTCGCGACGTGCAAGACGAGCCCTCGAATTAAGCGCATTCGAAGCGCATTCGATAAACATACATGAGATAACCATAAGCGCGCAAGCAAAGAAACATCAGCGCGCAAAGATCCGTCTCAGAGAACCGGGGTCCCCGGTTCAGCCCAGCGATGGGCGAGCCCATGCACGCACTCGCTGCTTCGACGAGCCAGCAGTAACCTAGTAGCAGCGCAGGTCAAGACCACAACGGGCCAGGCGCTCCGCATCCAGCCTGGTCGGCATGCCTATAGGCCTCCCAACTGGTGTCAAAGCAGATGAGGTCGAAAGATCGCGCCACTTCGCCGACACGTCGCCGATGCATCGGCGATGCATCGGCGACGTCGGCGCGGAGAAAATCGGGCTCCACATCGAGACGCATCGACGATGCGACAGCGATGATGCGGTGCGATAGTCCGACCCCATCTGCTCGGACCCCATCCGGGAGGCCTACAGTTAGGAGGCAGGATGAGGTGAGACAACGCCCCGAAAGATCGGTCAACGCGGACCCCCCAGCGCCGTGACTTTTCCATGGCGCGGACCCCAGAGGCCCGACGCCGTGATCGTTTCATGACGTGGGCCCCCAGATGACAGGGGATGTGTCGGCCCCCATCCCAGGCTTCATAGGGGTTTTCGAGTGGACCAGAAATAATCTGGGGCCCAGCCCTGGGATTTACGATGGGGGGGGCGTCCATCCTCGATAGGGGAGCGGCCGAATGGCCCCCAAGCGCTTCGAATGCAAGGCCAAACTTTTCGGGCGAAGCTCGGGGGTTGAGGGCGAGGAATCGCCTGCGACCAGACCGCGCGCCAGAGCGCGAGGGAGCTTGCGCAGCTCACCATCTGCAGCACTGCGTTCCGCAGCGCCGAAGAGCCCAGGAGGGCCAGCAGACTGCCACTCAGCACAGCTGCAGACTGGGCAATGCCACAATGCCCTCTGAATGAGAGCGAGATGGAGCGAAAACGCTCCCTGCCCAGGACAGCCATGCACTCAAAACGCATGGCCTGGTCTCAGCGCGGGGCGGGGCCCGTCTGTTCCCGCCCGGGGGCTGCTGCCTCGCGTGAGCCTGGGCCGGGCGGCCCGGCGCGCTGGCCCGGGCTGCGACTGCGGCCCGCAGAGTTGCCTGTGGCCCAATGGCCCGTGCCGGCCACGACTCGCCGCGCACGCTAGCCTTCCGCACTCTCGCGGCCGCCCAGGCGCCCCTGGGCGCGCAAGCGAACGACTCGGAGGAGGGCCCGCTGGGACAACGGCGGCCCCTCCCCGCCTGGCCCGAATCCGCTCAAAATCGGCCCCCCCATAAGACAAGGACTAGGCCAGGGCGAGGACACATTCGTGTAAGGATACATCGAGAATCTCTCAGATCCGGCGGCTCTGGACGATCCCCACGGCGCCGCGGCCCTCCCAGAGCGTTCTGGAACGCTCTGAGAGCGTTCCAGAGAGCGCTGCGACGGACTCATCCACGTCATGCCCCCCCCCGCCCGACCCGAGCCCGCTCAAAGCTCGGCCCCCCGAGCCGTCGGCCGGGGCCCATCCGGGCCCGCTTTGGCGGCGCGCAGAGGGGGGTCAAAGGGGAGGAGGGGAAGGCACCTCAGAAAGGGGGCTGCGTCCTAGAAGGCGCCGGCCTTGCACGCGCATAAAGAATGGCGCGCACCTTCTAAGAAGCCGGGGTGCTTCTATAGAAGCCTTCCCCCCTCCCCCATTTACCCCCCTTCTGCGCGTGGCCGACCGCTTGTCGAGGCGGGCCCACGCAGAGCCGTTGCGACGAGTGGCCCCGTGCAGGCCCAGGAAAGGGGAGGCAGGCGAGGGGGCGGCGGCGGTCGTCGCGGCCGACCGCACGGGGCCGAGGCAGAGGCTGCGACGCCAAGGCAGGAGGAGAGAGATGGAGAGGTAGATGGAGGGTCGAGGAGGGGAGAGACCGCATCGGTGGGACAACGCCCCGAAAGATCGGACAGCGCGGACCCCCCGGCGCCGCGCCTTTTCCATGGCGCGGCCCCCCAGAGGCCCGACGCCGGGATCGTTTCATGACGACTTTAAAGGGCTCTCGCAAGCGAAGGCCGGTGTCCGGAAGAGGCGGGAGCGGGCGCGCGCATCGCCGGGCGAGAGGGGTCAGCGGCGATCACAAGGAGCGCCCGTTGAGGGGCAGGCATGCCCCACGGGAGGAGGAGGAGAAGGAGGAGGAGGAGGAGGAGAAGGAGGAGGAGGAGGAGGAGGGAGCGGTGGGCGGCGCCTCACGTCTTGCACTGCCTCCTCCCCCGGAGGCGCACGTCGACCAGAGGCACGTCCACGAGCGCCTCGGCGAGGTGGTCCCTCGCGGGCCCCGTGGCCTCGACGCTGAAGCAGCGGCGCCCGGGCCTCAGCTGGCCGCGGCGGCAGTGCAGCCGGAAGGCCTCCTCCAGGCCGCGCAGCTCCTGGAGCACCATCTCCACGGCCACCACGAAGCCCGCCGCGTCTTCCGGCCCCGCGGTGACGACCTGAGCGCATCAGCTCTCCGATCCCTGTCCCCCAGCGGCGTGGCCTGGGCCCCACTTGCCGATTTACAACCATAGATGGGGAGATAGGCCGCTCCCTTCGGGTTTCGAGGGGTGTATCCCCAACTGGGGAGGTAATTTGGTGGGGGCTCGAAGGGGATGGGGACGGGGATGGGGGTCGGTTAAACGATACTGACGACCACCATCAGCGGGATCGGGGCCTCCTGCAGGCACCTCCCCTCCAGGAAGCCGCTGCCGCGCCCCCTGATCCTGACCTTGGCGCCCGTGGCGCCGAAGATGCGCCGCATGTTGCAGCCGCTCCTGCCGATCAGGCGGGGGACCAGGTCGAAGCCCGGGGCCTGCATGTGGAGCAGGATGTGCGCGCAGAGTCGGATCCTCTTTGAAGGCGGGCGGAGAGTCTGAACTGGCTGGGACCCCAGAAAATCAGTCAGGAGGGACGACGGAGCCAGATCCGCTCAAAAGCAGTTCCCGAACCCATCCCGAGTTCCATCTGGTGCGATGTGCCACACCGGATAATTACGTCTTTCACTGACCCACAGCCCAAAAATGGTCTCAGAGGTCAGAAAAGGCCAACATTATCCTGTCGAAGGACTCATACATCTGGAGTTGTGAGTACCGATGTTGCGGGTATCGCCTTCGGGGGATCTCCTCACGGGGCCATGAAGCATGCGAAGGGTGTGCCGATGTGAGGTGGGGTCGCCATGTGGGCGCTGCGCCACTGGTGCTTTAGGAGGAACGCATTACGGGGCCGCGAAAAGTGGTGCGCCGCAATGGGGCGGGGCCGCCACTGGGGCCTTCGGTGGAGCTCCCTATGGGACAACCGCTGTACTGGGTGGGGGAAGCGCATGAGAGTACAGCCACGGGGGTCTTCGGTGGAGCTTCCCATGGGGCCACGAAGTGCTGTGCTGGGCGGGGGGAACGCATGCGAACACCGCCACTTGGGCCCGCGGAGGAGCTCCCTATGGGGCAATGAAACGATGTACGGGGTGGGAGAAACGCATGCGAACACCCCCACAGGAGCCTTCGGTGGAGCTCCCTATGGGGCCACGAAACGCTGCACTGGATGGGGCAACTGCATGCGAGTGCAGCAACTGGGGCCCTACTGGGGCGTGGGTGACGCAGGCAGACGGTGCCACTGGAGCCTTCGATGGAGCCCCCTATGGGGCCAGGAAACTCTGCACTGGGTGGGGGGTGACGCATGCGGGCGGTACCACTAGAGCCTTCGGTGGAGCTCCCTATGGGACCACGCAAAACGCTGTACTAGGCGGAGGGATCGTATGCGAGTGCAGCAACTGTGGCCTTCGGTGGAGCTCCCTATGGAGCCACGAAACGCTGTACTGGGTGGGGAAACGCATGCGGGCGTTGCCACTGGGGCCTTCGTTGAAGCTCCGTATGGGGCCACGAAACGCTGCACTGCGGTGGGGGGGGCGCATGCGGGCGGTGACACTGGGGCCTTCGGTGGAGCTCTCTGTGGGGCCACGAAACGCTATGCTGGGTGGGGGAGACAGAGGCAGAGATGTGAGGAGGGAGGGAGGAGGAGGAGGAGGAGGAGGAGGAGGAGGAGGAGGAGGAGGAGGAGGAGGAGGAGGAGGAGGAGGAGGAGGAGGAGGAGGAGGAGAGGAGGAGGAGGAGGAGGAGGAGGAGGAGGAAGCAAGGAAGGAAGAGGAAGGAGGGAGGACGAGGGGCCCTGTCTCTTCAGAACGAGGACCCAACACCACAGGATGGTTGGCAAAAACCTTCCCCGAGCCGAGAACCTCGGACCTCCCCGCCCTTCCTCGGCTCCAAGGTCCTCTGCGGCTGCCCGCACGGCGGGCAGGGCTCGGCCGACCGCGGCGGCTCCCCGCGGGGCACCCGCGGGTCGCCGGCGAGTCCTCTGCACTCCGTGGCCCGCGCGGGCGGCGACGGGGGCGGCGCTGGCCGCGGAGCTTCCTTCGGCGCGGCGTGCGCGTGCTGCTCCCACGTCAGCGCCGCTGGCTCGGCAGGCACCCGCGGCGGCGTGGGCTGCGCGCGCCAGGCTGCGGAGGGCTGCTGCCGGTCCGGCGCCGCGAGCCCGGGCGGAGCGCCCACGCTAGCGGCGGCGGCCGCGCGGCGGAGCGCCTGGTTGGCCGTGGAGGCGACTGGCTCTGGCCCCTCCGCGGCCACACCCGTGCACGAGCCGTCGCCAAACTTGCGCGGGATCGGCGAGGAGAGCACGCTGAGCTGGTCGAGGGCGGCTGGCTCGGCGCGCGCGCCCCGGGAGGGCGCGACGCACCAGCGGGGCCAGACAGGCTGCGGCGTCAGGCTGACGTCGGCCTCTGCCAGCGGGCCCGCTGGGGCCAGCCGCGGAGCGAGCCTGGAGAAACAAAAACTGTGTCGACGTATTTTCTCGGAGCTCCCTTTGATCGGAGCTGGACCTCTGTCCCTGGCGCGCGGGACGCGCCAGGCGCGGCGCCAGAGGCGCCGCCAAGGGCGCCCAGCGCAGATCCAAGATATCCGCGCGGAGCTCCGAGATGGGCCTGTTTTCCACCACCACCACAACCACCATAAGTTGGAGGGGGAGGGGGTCCTCCTCCTTTCCCTCCTCCTCCGCCGCCGCCTCCTCCTCCTCCTCCTCCTCCTCCTCCTCCTCCCCCTCCTCCTCCTCCTCCTCCTCCTCCTCCTCCTCCTTTGCCCATTCCCCCTCCACGCGCGGCCCAGGCGGGGGGGGGGGCCATCGACTCTCCGGGTCGCTCACTCCTCGCCGAGCGGGGCCCGAGTGCCCCGCCCCGCACAGGAGAGCGATCGGTCGACGATGCGCCCACTGCCGACTCCACGGCAACCAATCTGGTGGGCCTGTTCTCCACCACCACCACCACCATAAGTTGGAGGGGGGGAGGAGGTGGAGGACGAGGAGGAGGAGGAGGAGGAGGAGGACGAGGAGAAGGAGGAGGAGCAGGAGGAGGTGGAGGAGGAGGAGGAGGACCTCCTCCTCCTCCAACTTATGGAAAACAGGCCCGTCAATCTGCCCCTTTCGCCCCCGACCCCACCCCCAGCCGCTCCCAGCGAGGGTGGGGTCGGAGGCGTGACCACGCTGGCAGTTCTTTCTGTCACCGCGGGGATCGCTCAACCTCAAACAATCCACCGTTTCCGAAGCGCCGGATCGTTCACCATCGACCAATCCTGGGTCGCCGGCGGCGTTCGGCATTGAACGCTGGGGGCGGCTCGCAGCCCGTCGACACGACGCGAACCTACCGTTCTGCGGCAACTCATGGGAGCCTCCGATGCCATTTTGCTGGCGCTTGCGAATCTACACCAATCGACGCAGCAGACTCTGATCGACAATACATCGGCGCTAGTCGCTGCCCCAGCCCTTTGGGCGTGAGTGGTTTAGAGAGCCCGCTCTGTTCTCAACCCCCCTTCTTCCCCTTCGGGGAGGGGTTTACCCCTCCCCCTACCCCCTCCCCCTGGGCCTGGAGAGGTCCTTTCGCGGGTCGTCAGGGGGGTTATGTTCGACTCCTGGGAGGGCTAAAAAACGACACCCCTCACGAGGATTCTGGCCCCGACGGGGGGGAGCAAAAAAACCCTCTCCTCTTCTTTGAAGCCAAAATCATTCATTTTACTACGGTTTTGGCCCCATTGTGGCCTTCTGAGGGGGCAGCGCTCGTTAAAGCTCCCCTCTTCCTTCAAGGCAAAATCATTGATTTTACAAAGGTTTTGGGCTCATTTTGCCCTTCTGAGGGGCCAGCGCTCATTAAAGCTCCCCTCTTCTTTGATCCATCCCCTCCAAGATGGCCCCAAGAAGCGCCCATGCCCCCAAGAGGCACCCAAGAGGCCCCAAGAGGCTCCCCCGAGGCACCCAAGACGCTCCTGGAAGCCCCTGGGGCCGCCAAGAGGCCCCCAAGACGCCCCAAACGGCCTCCAAGAGGCTCCCAAGAGGCCCGAAGAGGCTCCCCCAAAGGCACCCCAAGACGCTCCTAGAAGCCCCTGGGGCCGCCAAGAGGCCCCCAAGACGCCCCAAAAGGAGACGAGGTGCCCGAACGCCTCACGCCACGAGGAGCCCGAACGACTCACACCAGGACGAGGGGCCCGAACGACTCACACCACGAAGAGCCCGAACGACTCACACCAGAAGGAGGGGCCCGAACGACTCACACCAGGACGAGGCGCCCGAACGACTCACACCACGAGGAGCCCGAACGACTCACACCACGACGATGGCCCCGAACGACTCACACCACGAGGAGCCCGAACGAGTCACACCAGGAGGAGGGGCCCGAACGACTCACACCAGGACGAGGGGCCCGAACAACTCACACCACGAGAATCCCGAACGACTCACACCAGGACGAAGAGCCCGAACGACTCACACCACGAAGAGCCCGAACGACTCACACCAGGAAGAAGGGCCCGAACGACTCACACCAGGACGAGAAACCCCAAACGACTCAAACCACGAGGAGCGCTTTCTCTCCCTCCTCCTCCGCCTCGTCCTTCTCCCGCTCCCCCCACAAGGAGGATGTACAAGGAGGCGGGAGGAAGGAGGAACAGGGGAGATATGCGGGGCCAAGCGGACACACGCCTGAAAAATACGACTGTCGGCATGCTTCGCAAGAGTTGCTGTTGTGAGATGGGCTGGTGGGGATACGCGAAGCGTAAAGAATTATCTTCCTCCTCCTCCTCCTACTCCTCCTCAGCATCATCATCATCACTACCACCACCACCACCGTCATCATCATCCTCATCATCGTCATCATCATCATCATCATCATCATCATCATCATCATCATCATCATCATCATCATCATCGTCGTCATCACCATCATCATCATCAGCAGCATCATCATCACCATCGTCATCAGCATCATCATCATCCTCATCCTCATCATTATCATCATCATCATCAGCATCAGCATCGTCGTCATCGTCATCGGCATCGTCATCGTCATCAGCATCAGCATCAGCATCATCATCATCATCAGCAGCAGCAGCATCAACATCAGCATCATCATCATCAGCATCATCAGCAACAGCATCAGCATCAGAAGCATCAGCGCATCATCATCATCAGCAGCAGCAGCATCAGCATCATCAGCATCAGCCTCAGCATCAGCAGAATCACAATCATAGCATCACCATCAGCATAATCAGCATCAGCATCATCATCATCATAATCAGCATCATCCGCATCGTCATCAGCATCGTCGTCATCATCATCATCATCATCAGCATCATCATCATCATCATCATCATCAGCATCATCATCATCATCATCAGCATCATCGTCGTAGTAATAGTCCTTCTCCCCACTCCCTCATCCATCCATCCAGCCTCCTCCTTCCCCTCCTCCCTCCTTCGCACGGTTCGGCCGTCCACCTCTTTGCTCCAGCACTTCCCTGATCACCTCAACCCGCCTGGACATCGTTTCTGGATGGGCTGGTGGGGATACGCGAGGCGTCTAGAATCCCACCAGCCGCCCGTCAGGCGACAGGTGGTCTAAGGAGGGTCTCTATCTTCTTCCACAACCCCTCTCCCCTTCGAGGAGGGGAACCCTCCCCCTCCCCTCCCTGAGGTGTTCTGAGAGGGGGTCGCGACGAGTTAGAGCGTCCTTTTTCGGCCCCTGGGAGGGCCATTTTTCTCCACCCCATCACGAGGATCGTGGCCCCCGAGGGGGGGGGGTGGAGATAAAGGAACCCCCTCTTTTGATCGACAGCCTCCAAGATGGCCCCAAGAGGGCTCCAGGGTTCCCAAGAGAGCTCCAAGAAGGCCCAAAGAGCGCCCCAAGAAGCCCCAAGAGGCACCCGAAAGGCCCCCGAGCGGCCTCAGAGAACCCAAGATGGCCTCAGAGAGCCCAAAATGGCCTCCAAGATGGCTCAGATAGCCCAAGCTGGCTCAAGATGGCTCCCAAGATGCTCCAAACGGCCCCAAGACCGCTCCAAGACGGCTCGAGATGGCCACGGAGCCTCCCAAGCCTCCCTCGCTGTTTGACCATGCGTGCCCATTCCTCCCTCCCCCCGTCAGCTCTCATGGGCATCGTTTCTGCACGGGCTCGTGGGGATAACCGAAGCGTCAAGAATCGCCTGGCTCCGCCGCGCGGGATTTACGATCCATTACATATGCAGGGAGATGTTTTTCTGTCGTCGGACGTTTGCGAGCAAGCACTCTGCGAGCCGAACGGGCCACATGTAGGTCAGCTACTTTGTTCAAACTCTGGCCATGCGGGCGTTGTTTAGCTCAGCGCCAAAGCTGGGGCCCCATATCAGGTACAATGTCAAACAGCAGATCGGGATGGCCAGTGACAGGGTTGAGGTCAACACCAGGCTCGAAAAGCCAAGCATTATCACTCTGCGAGCCGCGGAGCGCGCTCGCTGACGAACGCTTCCCTCCTCGACAGCCTCGGCGCCAAGGCCCGCCAGTCTCCCGGCGATGCCCGCCAGTCTCCCGGCGGCGCGGTCGGGCGCTGCGGCCCACGCATCTCGGCGCTGGGCCGGCGAGCGGGCGGCTCGCGTTGGCCCCCCCACAGACCCCCGCTGGGCCATGGAGAGAAAACTGCCTCCTCCTCCTCCTCCTCCTCCTCCTCCTCCTCCTCCTCCTCCCCGTCCTCCTCCTCCTCCTCCTCCTCCTCCTCCTCCTGCTCCTCCTCCTCCTCCTCCGCCTCCTCCTCCTGCTCCTCCTCCTCCTCTTATACGGATTCCTATGCGGGCGCCGATGCGGATCCCGATACACCGATTCTGGCCGGGGCCCACCCTGAACCCAGGATCGGTGCACACGCCATCCTGCCTCGGCCAGGAGGGCACGTGCACCGGACCTGGGCACCAGGATGGGCCAGGCCAAGGTCGGTGCATGTGCATGGTTCTCTTCACCCGAGAAAGCATGACGGGAGGTGTTTCGCTACGGCAGGTTCGTGTCGACCTCGGCATTGGTTCTTGACACCGCGGGGATCGTTCAACGTGGAACGATCGGCCGTTTGCGAAACTTCCAAATCGTTCCACATCAAACGATTCTGGAAGCCCTCGGCGTTCAACGTTGAACGCCGCTGGCGGGGTCGCCGCCGGTCGACATGACACGAACCTGCCGTACGCTGGGCCTCTGGGGGCACTCGCCAGGCCATGGGGCCGCCAAAAAACAGCTCAGGGAGAAAAGCCAGAGCTGGGGGGTGGTTGGATGCTCATTCTGGGGACCTTCCTGGAGACACTCGCTCCACTCTTGTGTCGAAGCTGCGTCGAACGTCCGTCGATGTGAATCGACACTGAGTCGAACCTGAGCCGAACTTGAGTCAAACTTGCGTGGAGCTTGGGTCGAACTGGGGTCGAACTAGAGCCGAACAGATGCGTCAGGTGGGCCCCAGGAAGGTCCCCGAAACGAGCATCTAAAGGATGGGTCGAGACCTCTGGGGGTCGACGGCATGAAAAAAAGCACCCCGTCGGGGCTCTGGGGAGAGCGGCAGGCACCGGCGGGTCGCAACAAGTAAATCGAGGCTGACGGCTTTGGCTGGAGTGTGGAGCGTCCTCCTCCTCCTCCTCCTCCTCCTCCTCCTCCTCCTCCTCCTCCTCCTCCTCCTCCTCCCCCTCCTCCTCCTCCTCCTCCTCCTCCTCCTCCTCCTCCCCCTCGTCCTCCCTTTCCTCCTCCTCCTCCTCCTCCTCCTCCTCCTCCTCATCCTCCCCCTCCTATCGCATCCCAGCTTCCTCATGAATACCCCCTCCCTGTCGCACCCCAAGACGCATCGGCAAGGACACGGGCGGTTCGCCCGAGACTTCCGCACCACGTATGACCCTGAAATCTGAAGTCTGCAGCAGCTTCGAGGATGGGGGGCGGATGGTTTTCAACATGTGGCCATCGTCCGAGCGCCGCGCGCATTCGTCAAACAACACTGCATCGGCTTCAAGGGTGGAGGGCGCCCCGTGTTCAAAATGTGGTTCTCGCCCGAGCGCCGCGCGCATTCGTTTGAAGAGTTTGCACCAGCCGCATTGGGTTCGTGAGCTTGACCCACGAAGCGCGTTCTGGCACGATTTAGGGTCGTCAGGACGCAACACTTAGGCTGATTCGCGCGATTGAAGTCCCAGGAAGGGCGCTGTCGTACGGTCCAGGATTGCCAAGATTGCGCAAGGACCTAGGAAGAGGGAACTCGGAGGGAGGATTTAAGTGCAACATCGTTGGTGGCTCTTCGGTTTGCACTGATCCTCCTCCTCCTCCTCCTCCTCCTCCTCCTCCTCCT